TAGTTATTTGGGGTAAAATTCCAGATGTTTGTACTCTTGTTCTAATTCCAGTTAGTGATAGTAGCGAGGACAGTTTTCAGTTGGGAGGGGTTTATCAGGTGTGATCATTTACAATTTTTGAGCATAACTTAATTACTCATTGATCCAAACATAGAACTGAATGCCTAAACTCTGAAGCTCAATTTGAAAGTTAGGCTTTTTATATGGAGGCTTTTCCAGTATTCTGTCTGTGAAAGTATGCATTCAAGAAACAAAGATTTTTTTTTACCTTACAAGACAGATGTCGTAATAGAATTCCTAGCATTGTCTTTGCAAATAAGCAGCTATAATGTGTCAGGAATACTGTATAATTTTTTTTAGAAATTTGTTGTTTGGGAAAACAGAATATGTAGTAATATGCTGTGATGATCATATATTATGATTTTGAATTGCAAGGGGGAAAAGTACTGAAACGTGTAACTGGTTAAAATGTATTAAGAATCAGGCCTTGGAAAGTAACTAAAATAATGCCATCCTTTGCAGGAGCAGACTTATAAAATTCAAAATAGCTTGATTGTTTAACTTTTTATGCAAATTGTAAGCATAGGAATTATTATAAATGGACTAGTTGAAATATAAGCTGATTAATAATATTACATGTTTCTACACTTTATAGAAACAAAGCATTATAGACACAGAGTATAAAAAGCTACTGCTTTCCTTGGTTCTGTTTTTCAGCACTTTATCATCAGCTTAATTTTGTAAGACACTATGCGGTGTGGCAGCAAAAGATGCTTCCAAAAAGATAAGCTAATTATCAAACTGGAGTAAGAATAGTATACTAAAACTGGAAGGCTGAAGTGTCAACTTAATAAAGAGAGAAGGAATGTTCACAAATACTTTCAGGAATATACTTCTTATGACAGAAACTGGGCCTATTAATGCCACCACTGTTCATAAGGAGATGCAAAAACTTTTTAAGGTTAAATGTTAAATATTTGAAACCAATTTTTGCCAGGAATATAAGGTGTTCAAATACTTAATTAACCAGTCAGATAGCAGAAAATACAGGTTAAGCGAAGTTTGAAAATAGCATTTGAAAGACTTGTTGTAACAAAACTTTTATTTTGAAGAATAAATAGGATGCACTGTCCTAGAATAAAGAAATGGGTTTTGAGCATTGCATGTCTGTCTATCAAAATTGTTTGAAGGATGCTGTAGTTAAATATCACAGGGTGTGTATGAAGTCTGTGTTGCTAATTACCTGTGTTAGATCATTAAAAAAAAAAATAGATAGCAACACTTACTTCATACTTGTGCTGCCCCTTTTTTATGTGGGTAATGATATTAAAGTAACCATTTTCATGTTTTGTCATAGTGCAAATGTTGAAGGCAGGCTGGATTTTTAAAAATCTTTCAATGTAATTAAATTTTTTATAATACTTCTTAGTCTTAGATTTTTGGCCAAGTAAGTTTTTACAGTATCTAAGTATTGCACCATAATTGACCTTAGTGGCATGAAAGTCACAGGTAAGTTCTTAAAGAGTTTTTCCTTCTAGAAATCAGTATGCGTGATGAATGCTATTTATTATAATATTTCATACAGAGTAGTTGGTCTAATTTTTCAACAATAATGATTCTTTTTATAATTTTGATTCTGTACAGCGGTGTTTTTATCACTATTAGTAGGAAAAATCCCACAGCTGACACAGATTACATAATCTCATTATTGTCAAGTATTTAAAAAATCATGAGAGAGGCTTTGAAAATCATGAATTTGACCTAAAAACATAATATTTGAGCATTCTCTTTATTTTCTTTCTGGGATTTTTATTATTGTTATTTTATTTGTTTATTGGACCCTTTAAGATTCAATGTTTTCAAACCCCCTCACCAACCATTCTGAAGGTGTGAAGCTGCAATTCTTATGTAATAACTTAAGATGGATGAAATGCAGGATTTTCAGTTCACAATAAGTTTTGGAAATATTTGTTTCAGTCCTATTCAGACCAAAAGTGTAACTTTCAAAATTGATTAAGAACTAAAAATTCCCAGTGAAACACATTCTCTGGGCCCTTGCAGCTCCTAAAGGAAATTCAATAGTCTTGTTTCCTATGCGTAGCAGTTAAATGGAGAAAAATATCAATATCATTCAATAGCTTCCAGGGACTGTGGCTTCAGAGCAGTACTGCTATGCAGTCTGTGCTGAGCTAGTAACCCAAGGCCTTCCAAATTCTTCTGGAAGAACTGACTCTTGAACTGGAGAAAAGACTGGAAGTCCTTTAGTCCTCAGCCTGGAGCAGTCAGTATGGTGGGGCTACCATAGCTGCAGAAATTGGAAGCCTGACTCGAGACTTCCAGGCAGAGAGTTTCAGCTCTTCATCAAAAGCCTCATTAGAGCCAGGGCTTCCAGGTTCCCGGTTCTGCTGCCGTAAGGCTGAAAGCTGTAACGTAGCTGGCTACCCTTGGGCTGCTACAGACCTGGAAACAGAATTACCCATTAGGTAGAATGTGCCACCCTGGAGCGGTGGGTGTTGAGAGCACTGAGGTCCTCACCTCAATAGCCTGCCATATTGGATCCCAGAGCGATTTCACAACAGACATTTTGGATTCACATAATTAGGGCCCTACTGGATTCATGGTAGCTGTGCTGCGGCTCCTTTAATCTTGCAGGTTCCCCTTTGCACAACCCCCTCCCCCTTGCAGCTGATTGTTGGAGGGGCCGCACATGCAGCTCACTCATGATCATCAGGAAAGTGAAAACCACCGTTTTAAATTTGGTGCTGTTTTTGTGTCTCTGCCATTGGTTGCCTGAGGGGCCCCAGCGGCCCCACTGCTTACTGCTGACCGGCAGGGAGACAAAAACGGCGCCAAGTTTAAAACTATGGTTTTCACTGCCAGTCAGGAGCAAGCCACACATGGGGCCCCTCCACCAATCAGTGGCAAGAGACACACGGGGGAACCTGCAAGATTAAAGGAGCTGCAGCGCAGCCCACTTCCACCATGAATCTGGTAAGGCCCTACACACAGGGCACAGAATTGAGTTTATTTTTTTTAAACAAAAATCTATTTGAAGTGAACTCTTCTGTTCAGGTCTGTTAACAAAATGATTCTAGGAAGTGGGGTTTGAAGAAATCCCATAAAAAAGATATTTTTGGGGTTTACATCAGTGCCAGCCTTATAGTAGCCATTCAAGTCGGTTTGAAATCATTGGGGGTGGGGGGTAATGTTAATGTTGAAAACCTAATTTTTAAATGTATAGCAAATGCGATAATTGCCCGGCAAATTCTCTTGAAACTTTTGAATCTGCTTTTTTCCTTGCTAAAGATGTATCTTCTTGGCTGTATAATTCTAACATTGCTACTCTTAGTATAATCTCACACAGTGCATTTAACATGCTGCTAAATAGCTTCAACAAATGTAGGTATTTTCAGATGCTGAATTTTTATCTTTTGGTAGTAGTTCCTAAAATGTGACTTCCCTTTTATTACCCATTTCTGTAGACCACTTTAAAAATAAAGACAGTACTTGGGCAGAGATGAGGAACTAAAATCACTTTTGGAATTCATTTCATCTAAAGAAGGAATGTGCTTTTTGAAAACAAATGCAAGAAAATTTTGTAAAACTACAGCACAATTGAAAATGCTGTTTTGTGTGCCAGTGTTCATTAAGTTGGAATCCAGGAATAAGGTTATACTTTTACCTTTTATTGGACTGAAAAAGGGTGGGGTTTTTTGTACAATAAATTGTCCATGTGATGTCATTTAAATGTAAACATATTTTACTGACCATTTTAATCGAGCAATGCTTTGTCTGTGCTGCTAGAAATGTTTCGTTACATGCTTAAGGGAAAAAAACCTAAAGAATTTACACTCGCTCTTTTAAGTGTATTTGGGGCTTCACTGAAAAATCTAAACAATCCATGAGTAACTTATATAAAATGTGTTCTAAAAACCAACACGTTTCAAGATGATCAACCTTTTTCTCTAGTGAAACCAAGTTTCTTTGCAGTTCTGTTGCTGTATGCTGTATAGAAGCAAATTATCTGGTTTTATGCTCATGCATTTGTCTTTTAGCATTCAACATAATGTGAAAGTGATCCTTCACCACTTGCCTTTTACATTGATGCACACAAACAAAATCCAATATTTGCCAGATTTGGAAAACCCTCTGTGCCTCCCTTCTGGACGTGAATGTTTCCTTTATTCATTCAGTTGAGCTGTTGTCTTTAGAATGCACATATGAAAATAATATTTGTGGCTTTTACTAACCCCACCTGAGTTAATCAGAAAGAATCTAGGTTCTTCCTGCTCCTTCCTTCTCATGTCCTTGTGACAAGGTATTTAGCACAATTTGTAGATTTGTTGTGAGTGCTTCTGCTATGGCCTTGAACTTGCAACCTCTGGACTGTCAACCATGTACCTTGTGCCTATGTCCCCCAGTCCTCCTTCCTGTTCTTGGAAAGCTTTGTCTGTGTTGGCAAGATAAATTTATCAGTCATGTCCATATATCTGACTTTTCTTTGCTCATGTGTGGTAAACAAAAGTGGACGAATTATTTTAATATCATGTTTTTGTTGATCTTATTTTTCTATGTTGTACTCTTTTTTCATTTTCTATTTAATTTGTGGCTAGGATAAAAATAATATATGTAGCTTTGAAGAGGTATCTGAAATTTTTGGGGAAAACAGATTGAACTTGTTGCTACTCAGGGTATCGATACAGAAAAACCTCAGTTCGTCATTAATTCTCTTCCTCTCCCTCCCTGACCCCTTCAAACTGGTGCCGAATGAATTTTATAGGTTTGACCTAGCTACTTAGTGAGATCCTGTTTTTTTACCATCTAGGTAAATGTAATTAACTCAATTATTTCTTTGGTTTTAATGTTTTTATTTCTTAAAATATAAATGTAAAATTTGGAAGATGGAATTACATGCTGTAATATTTTCATAATTTATATAGAATGTTAATGAATAATTTAATTTGAAATAAAACACCCTTTTTTCCACCCTCTTATCACAGGATAATGAAAAAAGGACCCCTTTACATGCTGCTGCCTATCTGGGAGATGCAGAAATTATTGAACTACTTATTTTATCTGGTATGTTCTGTTCATATTAATTAAAATAACTCTATGCACATAAAATATATACTTTTAGTTTGCATAATTTTATCAAAATATTTAATGCTCTAAAAATTTTATTGAAAACCTTGGCATTTTTATAAATTTTGGTTTGTTAATTCAAACCACTATTTTAATCCTTTGCAATGTCTACTAAAGAAGAGTACTCACCAATGATAAATTCTCTCAGTAATGCCTGTTCTTTATAATTTATAACTTATAACCCAATTCAGTTTGTTTAAAAGTAGTCTGTCTACTATAGTCAAGTGATTAGTTAAAATGTAGTAATATATGTAGCAGTATATGTATTTGTACTATATTGAATGAGCATTCAAAAAAATGTGGTATTTAAGATTGAAAATGGCATCCAAAGATATTAATATTAGCTCTGTCAAATGCTTTAAAATTTTTAATCTTGATTAGTTGCAATTAATCGCAGCTAAAACCTCAAAATTATGCACAGAAAAACTCAAAATTCCAGCCCCTCCCAAGGTAGAAGGGCAGCATGGAGGCAGTGCTGGTGGTGGCGGGGGGCCCCTGCTGAGCTGCCCCTGCTGAAGCTGCCGCCTGCCCTCCCACATATGCTCCCTGCCCACCCATGGCCCCATCCCATACACAGAGGTTTGGTAATCTGTTGTGCAGGGCGGGGGGTGCTGAGCTGGCCTATAACAGCTACCCAAAATTCCTTATGTGGCCTGCAGGCTCACCCCTGGCTTAGCCCATCAGCAAACATTTGAAACTGAAGTTCAGATGTGCTGAGCCATATATTAAACAGTCCGAGCTGTCACAAAATGGGTACCTAAAATTAGTGGAAAATTTTTTATCTTAAGCTGTTCATTGTTTCCCTGTCTATCAAAGGGGGGTGTTATTATCTATTCCCTTCACAGGACAGTTCTGAAAATAAATACAGGCTTCCCTCACTTTATGCTGTACATGGGTTCCTGGAAAACAGTGTATAACTCAAATTCGCCTAAAGGGAACCCACTTTACAATGTAACAAATAGGCATACATTCCAAGACCTCAGTTGTACTGACCCCCAGATCCATTTCTACCACTTTTACAAGACAATTTTGGTACTCTCCAACAGCAGATATTACACACAAACACAGGACACTATCATAATAGGGATGGCAACTACAGAAACATTTGTTGCAGACAGTGAGAGAGGAGCACAGATCCACACAGGAAACTATATTTTGGTGCATGTCACTCCCACAATGCACCGCACAAAGCAGGTGACTGCGGGCTTCCACTATACCAATTGCATAAGAGTGAATTTACCTCGCATATAACAGATTTTTGGTATAAAAAGGTCATCGCATAAGAGCGAATTCACATATACAGAACCTGCATAAAGCAAGGGAAACCTGTACTCGGCTCCTGTAGTAATGAGCACAGTAGAAAAGACTGGGAGGAAAATAACAATGTTGTTACTAGAGGAGGGTTTGAATAACATGCAGTTAGTAAACCTTAAGGACCACATTTGAAACCATGTGGCAGGAAATTTTGAATGGTTGCAGATAGAATTAACAATTTATTCTTGGTGCTAAATTAGGTTGGAATCGTGAGGGGAAAAGTAGTATGTGATCATGTAATTACTGTTTGTATAATGATGTATTTGCATGAGGGCCAAATTAAGTCTGGACAGCAACCTTAATTCTGACAGTTCTTAGCTTTAGAGTCCTTGACTTTGCTACCTTAATGTAGTTTTGTGTCTGATTTAATTATACTGTAGTACATTTCCTGGTCTTTTTTTATTTTGAAAATGCAGTAAATAATTAAACCCTATTTTTCAATGTCCTTATGATATGGACAGAAGCGTACTGTAAGGAATTTTCCTTGTTTTTCTACTTTATTTCTTTGTCTGACCTGAAACTTACTGAAGTAATTGTGTTTCTTTCCACTAACTTCAGGTGCTTTTTTCCCCCAGTTTTTAGTGTAATTTACCTTTAGTTCTGCTCGTTTGTTTATTGATGCTACCTGCATTCTTCAACCCCACTAAAATAAGAAGAGACAAAAATAGTGAGAGTAGGAAAAATGACTCAAATATTTCACTATATTTAAAGAGAGGTGATTAATCTATCAATTTTTTATTACAAATTCAAGGTACTTTTTGAGTATCAAAATTCTCTAAAGATTAACTACAGATTCAAATGTTTCAGTCTAAACGAACATGCTCTTGATGCCGTTCCTTAATTCAGAGTTCCATGCAGTTAGTTTTTAGCATTAGTTTATCTGTCCATAGTGTTCTTCATGTAGATGCTGAAAATTACGAAACCTTTTTGATTGAACTTCTGCCCTCAGTTTTCCATCCTGTTGTGTTGCTTACCCTCCATGGTTTCCAAATCTGGGCCTGGAATTGACAGTCAAAGATACAGATTTCCAGTAGGAAAGTGAGAGTACTCCTTTGATTTACAACTCTTGGAAATCAGATAGTCTTAAAAGTGTTAAGCCCCTTGCCATAAGATGAATTTTTTCCTAATTGCAGTCAAGTATATCTAGCACAGTGATTCTTGACCTTCTTAGACTCGAGACAGCACTCGACACATGAGTGCACACACCCACACCCTTCCCCATACCCCATGTACACGCATAAACACCCCACATACACTCTCAACACCCCACAAACACCATACCCCCCTACACCTCTCCATACCCCCCGCTTTCACACTGTATACAGGAGAGAGTCTTAATTTTGAGATATTATCTATTCACCTTTATATACATGACACACATGCACACATCAGGACAAAAATATTTTTTGAAATAAAATGAAAATATTGCATTGTAGATACTTGATTTTTTTTTTTTAGTTTAGAATTTGGTTTTTTATCATTCCAAGATGGGAAACCCCCTTCGCAAAAAGAGTCAGTCCTTCTGGGTGCAAGGAAAGGGACTTCTGGTGGCAAAGGTCAGAGGTTAGTGGTGGGACTTCTATTCCCAAGATGGTGACCTGAGAGCGGAGCACCTGTCATGGGGCGGGGCTACCCCTATGGTCCTTGACAATTCGCCAAAACTCGTTAAGCAGCCCTCCAGCTGAAATAATTGCACGCTCCTGTTCTAAGTCCTTGAGAGTCAACGCTGCATGTATTCACAAAACAACAAGGACTGAATAAAGATGCTTCTGCTATATTCCTGAGTAGTAATCATGTATACAGGTACTAAGTTTTTAATATAAGTGCCACTGTCTTGTGGACCCTCTTTTTTAATAATAATGTTGACCAGTGATTTTTGGTCCCACTTGCCTAAATTTCTTGTGGGAACTACAGCAATTGTTTATATGGAAAAAATGTTTTAATTTAATCTTTACCTTTTTAGTTTAGCAGCTAGAAATCAGGTGCTGCATCTTGCTGCCAGACAGGTGGCTACAAAATGCCAGCAGATGCTTTGCAGCCAACTTTGCCCTAATTTTATTCCATATTTTACCATTGGCAGTCAGAGGAGGAAATGCAGATTTTCTTAGTCTCTAAAAGTAACAGTTTTAAACTTGTAGCTGCAGGCAGTAGAGAAAAGACATTTTTAAGGGCTGTTTGCAAGGTGATAAACATATTAATAATGTTTAGTTGTAATAAACTAATGTTTTAGTAATTACAAAATATTAAGTAAATTTTGTATTACTAAATATTGGTCTCCTTACCTTTATTAAGAGCTTGGTACAGATTGATTATCATCCATTTTAATAGGAAAGAAAATCTGTTCTCTTTGCTGGACTGGACAGAAGGCATTAAACTGAACTGTTTGGTTAAACAACATAAAAAGTGTGTAGATCGGAACTATTTAATCTTGTTAACCATATAGGCTTTTTTAAGGCTTGAAGAGGAAAAAGAAGAAAAAAGTGACTGAAGCAACTGCTCTTCAGAAGTGTAGAATATTTGTAAGCTTAAAGCTCTTGGAAAAACTCCATTGGGAGTATTGTTTAGTTTTTGAGCTTTGCAGTTCTAAAATGTGTTGGTTGAGACAAAGCAGAAAATCCTCAGTTTGAGTGTTGCATGAGGGTTTTGATTTCTCTGTTGACATGTCAGTGAAGTAGCAGAGGATTTGACTTTGGTTATGTTTTTATAACCGTATAATTAGTTGTGTACCTGGTCCTCTCTCTTTTTTTTTTTTTTTTTTTTGAGAGAGAGAGAGAGAGAGATCTTATTTATTAATCTACATACTTTTCTAGTGTAAGGACAGAATACTGCATTTTAAGATATACTACTCTAATACCTAGCTATTATTTATTAGATTGAATACACAATCACCAGTAGAATTTTTCTAGCTTCCGAGAGTGCTTGAAATTTTATTTGGCCCTTCTAATTGACACATCTTCTAAATACAACAAGTGTTTTGTTTTTAATGGAAGTTTCTTGCAGCTTTCCATTAAGGATAAAAGAAAGCCTGGCTCTCTGTGAGTGGTTGCTTCAGTTCATGATGTATTCTCCATTTTCACTGAACTCTTTCTGTGTCATCTTTGTGATAGTAATTTCTAGGTCCAGGCCTGACCCCTTCTGATCTTAAGCAATTGGCAATTTATACCTAGGATTTAGCCTTCATGATTTTCAAAAGAACTTTTTCCATTATCCTTGAATCCTGTCAATTAAGTTGTTAAGAAGCTGAGTTTTAGTTGCCTGTGTTTTCTGAAGAAACACTTACCTCTCTTACTTATATTGTGGTAGTGTCCAAAATGTATTAGGCATTGTATAGTCATAAAGAAAGACAGTCTTTGCTATAAGGATTTTATAGTTAAAAATATATAATGTAGGTAAAGTCTAGGAGGAAGGGATTCTGTGCTACAAATCAAGTTGTTTGGTCCAGTGGTTTCATTTTTTTAAAACTTTCCTTGTACCTAATATATTAAAAAATCCATTTTTATTAGAATGAATCTTTAGAGGGGGATTAAATTGGGAGAATGATGGTGGCTTTGTAGCCTAGTTCTGGAAGAATATTCTAGCTTAGGGGTTTGAAAGAAGGCAGTGTAAATCCAGAGGGAGAAATG